GTGTGGAGTTTGGGTTCGGAAATTTTATGGGAGCTTCCTAGAAGCCTAAGAAATGCTTTGCTCGAGACGGATTTTGATTTGGAGGTCCCACGAGTTAGTTTTGGCCCATTATGACTCCTCGCCCGCACGCTCAAGCACCCCGGCGTGCACGTGGTCATCGTATGCTAAAAAATGAAGTTTGGAGTTTGGGTTTGAAAATTTTATGCGAGCTTCCTAGAAGCCTAAGAAATGCTTTGCTCGAGACGAATTTCGATTTGGAGGTCCCCCGAGTTAATTTTGCCCATTATGACTCCTCGTCCGCACGCTCGTGCACCCCGACGTGCACGTGGGCATCGTATGCTAAAAAATGAAGTTTGGAGTTTGGGTTTGAAAATTTTATGGGAGCTTCCTAGAAGACTAAGAAATGCTTTGCTCGAGACGGATTTCGATTTGGAGGTCCCCCGAGTTAATTTTGCCCATTATGACTCCTCGCCCGCACGCTCGTGCACACCGGCGTGCACGTGGGCATCGTATGCTAAAAAATGAAGTTTGGAGTTTGGGTTTGAAAATTTTATGGGAGCTTCCTAGAAGACTAAGAAGTGCTTTGCTCGAGACGGATTTCGATTTGGAGGTCCGCCGTGTTAATTTTGCCAATTACGGCTCCTCGCGCGCACGCTCAAGCACCCCGACGTGCACACCGGCGCGCACGTGGGCATCGTATGCTAAAAAATATGCTTTGCTCGAGACGGATTTCGATTTGGAGGTCCCCCGAGTTAATTTTGCCCATTACGACTCCTCGCCCGCACGCTCGTGCACCCCGGCGTGCACGTGGGCATCGTATGCTAAAAAATGAAGTTTGGAGTTTGGGTTCGGAAATTTTATGGGAGCTTCCTAGAAGCCTAAGAAATGTACCAGTTAACCTTAGGTGCTTTGAAAGGATAAAAACAGTAAGAATTAAAAAATATAAATGTGGAATGTGTAGGATTCGAACCTTTGATGAAATGGGTGGATATGGAAAGACTTAACAACAATGAAAATGAATGTACAAGTTAAATTAGGTGCTGTTGTAAAGATAAAAATATTAAGAATTAAAATATAAAAATGGAATATGCAGATCCGAACGTTTTGATGAAACGGGTGGATATGAAAAGACTTAACAACAATGTCAATGAATATACAAGTTAACTTTAGGTGCTGAATAAACTATATATCTGTATGGATAAAAACATTAAGAATTAAAGTATAAAGGTGGAATATGTAGATCCAAATCTTTGATGAAATGGGTGGTGATTAAAAGACTTAACAACAATTTCTAAGTTAACCTTAGATGCTGAAAAAACTATTTATAAAATTTAAATTTGAAATATGTAGATTTGAACCTTTGATGAAATGGGTGTTGATCAATGTTCAACTTAACATTAGGTGCTGAATAAACAACCATTTTTGTGATGCTGACAAAACAACCAAACGCAAGGCAAATCTCCAAGTGTCAAGTTCTTAGTGACCAAAAATAAACATAATAATAATAAATAAATAAATAAAATAATAAAATAAAATAAAATAAAATAAAAGTATTACTTGAATTTGAATTAAGCTCCAGATATAATTAACTTATTGTCAAAGTTGGGCACAACAAACAAACCCAATCATATTTGTAATAGGATGGAGGAATTCATTGACCATGGTGAGGAACCCAGTTAAGGTATTCAACATGGAGATCCACTGCTGCTGCTCTCTCTTTGGCAAATCAAAATGGAGAAAGAGATCCATCGACCACATTCGAACCTGTGATCAAGTAATAGTTCAACAAAACAAAATTCCATTTAAGACAAACATCACAACAATGACATAGGAAAATGATTTTGATATTAAGCATTAATATTTCATTAACAATTTCCTAAGTCAAATAATGAATGTTTGAAAGATAAAAAATTAAAACTTGAGCTTTAAGGGCGAATTCATGAATTGTTAGTAGGGTTGATTGGACTAAAATTACGTATAATAAAATAAATAAATAAATTTTTTTTGGAATAGGTGGCGTATATTTGGAGCTCAATATGAAATCCTATTTTCTTGCGAGACCCGTTCGGATCCAAGCTCGCTCCTAGATCAGCCATCGGCCGGAATGGGCCCTATTCATCTCTCTTGCAATCAATAATGAGACTTTCCTTTGACCCCCATGGCTGTAGCCTATATAGTGCCCTTCTTTTCACACCAATGCATACAACGTGTGTGTGTGTGTGTGTGTGAGATATGCATGCATATATTCACGCATGCACATTTGGTTCACTTTTTGCATTTTGGAAAAAAACATAGATAAAAAATGATGAAAAAGAATGTTTAGTTGTGTGATCTTGATTTGTCAATTTGATGTATGATTGTGGCCAATCCATAAGTTGGTGTTAGGTGTACCATACCATAGATGTATATGTCGAGATACATGAATTAACATTGGTTTATTTGTGATATTAAGTATTAAATATTCAATTAGCAATCCCCTAGACGCATTTGGTTATTGTCCATTTGTGATTCCAAAATGAGTTAGACAAAAATAGGGTATTTATTTTTGGGTCAAATAATGAATGTTTGGAAGATAAAAAATATAATTCAAGTATTGGATGGTGACGGTAGTATTCGAACCTGTGACCAAATAAAAGATTAACAAAAGTACAATCCATTTAAGACAAACATTACAATAATGATAAATGTAACCAAATAAATGTTTGGAAGATAAAAAATTAAAAATTAAGCTTAAGGGCGAATTCATGAATTGTTAGTAGGGTTGACTAATATTTCTTTGCCTGGACTAAAATTACGTATAATCAAATAAAAAAATAAAAAATTTTGGAATAGCCATCAGCTGGAATGGGACTTTCATCTTTCTTGCAATCAAATAATGAGACTTTCCTTTGACCCCATGGCTGTAGCCTGTAGTGCCCTTCCTTTTACACCAATGCATATATGTGTGTGTGTGTGTGTGTGTGTGATATACATGTATATATTCACGCATGCACATTTGGTTTGCTTTTTGCATCTTAGAAAAACATAGATAAAAAATTATTAAAAAGAATGTTTAGTTGTGTGGTCCTGATGTGTCGATTTGATGTATGATTGTGGCCAATCCATAAGTTGTTGTTTAGGTGTATCATACCATAGATGTATATCATGAATTAACATTGGTTTATTTGTGATATTAAGTATTAATATTCAATTAACAATCCCCTAGACACATTTGTTAAATATAGTCAAAATGGTTATTGTCCATTTATGATTCCAAAATGAGTTAGACAAAAATAAGGTCTTTTTTTGGGTCAAATAATGAATGTTTGGAAGATAAAAAATTTAATTCAAATATGGAAAGGTGACGGTGGGATTCGAACCTGTGACCAAATGAAAAATCAACAAAAGAACAATCCATTTAAGACATACATTACAACGATGATAAGTATGACTTATTAAACATATTTAAATGATTGTGATATTAACCATTGAGATTTAATGAACTACTCCCAAGACGAATTAGTTAAATAGATTGAAAACAATGTGCCAATATAGTCAAAATTGTTCTTGGCCACCTATGATTCCCAGAATGAGTAAAAAAAGGACTAAAATTATGCTTGAAACTAGAAAAAAAGATTGATTAGAGCAAAATAGGGCATTTTTTGGGTCGAAACGTCGACCAAACCGCCTACGGCAGTTTGCGCTGCGTAGCTCTCGAAAAAATACCCCAAATCAAAAAAAAATTCGTCCCAAACGGACCACCGAGCACAAAGTTATGCCCCTTCAAAGTTTTGCCTCTCAAACTCAAACTTAAACTGAAGCTGGGAGTTCAGGGGCAGATGTGACAATACACAAACAGCGTGTTTCTTTTTCAAATTATTTTAATGTATGTTTCTTTTTTCTAATATACCAGTACTACTCGTATATATATATATAAATCCAGTAGGAATTCATATTTATTTTTTTTTCATTTTTCATTTCTTATTTGTCCGTCCGTCCTCCTTTCTCTCTCTACCCCCACTCCTAATCGCTCATCACATCACTCTCTCTCTACCTACCGCCGGCCGCTCCTCACAGATTTTCGGAGACAGGTCTCATCCAATGGCGGAGGATTTGGATTTGGTGTTGGACACAGCGATCACAGATTGGGTACTGAGTGGTTCTCATCGGAGTCCTTCGCTACTTCGTCGCTAAGCTCACTGACTGACTGGTTATATTCCTCACTTTCTCACTCTCTGTGTGCCTTATATATATACACAAACATATGTCACTTTTTTAAATTTTTTCTGTTGTATGTGTTTTGAATTTCAGGCAAAACATAGTTAGGGCTAGGAATATACAGGCCTCTGCGAATTTCATCCCTCCAAAGACGTTTCGTGCTCCGAAGGGTTTATTTCACCAATGAGGTTTGATTATGTTTTCATTTAATTTATTGAAGGATTTGAATTCATCTTTCCCTATTTGGTATGAATACGAAAAGTACTACTGATTTTGATGTCGTAGGAAGTGAAATATTTGATTTGTGTTTATAAACCTGCTATTGTTACTTATAGATTTCAATGTAACGTAAGTGAGCCAAGTTTTGTGTGAGTGGATGAATTTGCCTGTAACTTAAATTTGGCTTTACCATCAGTTATGCTTCAACTTAGCTCAGCTGTACAACCAACAATACTAGGGACTTAAAAGATAAAAACAAAAGCCAACTTCTACATTGTAAGACTCCAATGTGAAGTGTTCTTGAATTCCAGAACCTGAGACACTAGTTGCCACACCTTCTCAGATGACCTGTACAATCATCTCATAGGCGTACGAATTGACACAATTGGAGATGTAGCCCTAAAAGAAATCTGCAAGTCATCATCATCTTAACAGGTTGCAAGTCGCCCTCTTGGAGAAAGGCGGAACCCAACTTCTTCACAAATTCAATGAGAAGTGAATGCTGAATAGTTTCTCTGTGCAGCAGTAGAATGAGGTCTTGATGAAATTGAAAGGATTGAGAAAACTGAATGCTAAAAGAATGA